GCAGGCGCAGCACTTTGGCGATGCTGTTGCGAAATCGTGGCAGGCGCAGCACTTTGGCGATGCCGTTGCCGAAGTCGTGGCAGGCGCAGCATTCTGTGCATCTGGGTGTGTGTTTGTGTGGCAGGGGTCGCATTCGGCAGCTGTCTAGAGGGACAGGATGTTGTCGCGCGCGCGGCGGGGGGCGTGCGAAATCGTGGCAGGCGCAGCACTTTGGCGATGCCGTTGCGAAATCGTGGCAGGCGCAGCACTTTGGCGATGCCGTTGCCGAAGTCGTGGCAGGCGCAGCATTCTGTGCATCTGGGTGTGTGTTTGTGTGGCAGGGGTCGCATTCGGCAGCTGTCTAGAGGGACAGGATGTTGTCGCGCGCGCGGCGGGGGGTGTGCGAAATCGTGGCAGGCGCAGCACTTTGGCGATGCCGTTGCGAAATCGTGGCAGGCGCAGCACTTTGGCGATGCCGTTGCCGAAGTCGTGGCAGGCGCAGCATTCTGTGCATCTGGGTGTGTGTTTGTGTGGCAGGGGTCGCATTCGGCAGCTGTCTAGAGGGACAGGATGTTGTCGCGCGCGCGGCGGGGGGCGTGCGAAATCGTGGCAGGCGCAGCACTTTGGCGATGCCGTTGCGAAATCGTGGCAGGCGCAGCACTTTGGCGATGCCGTTGCCGAAGTCGTGGCAGGCGCAGCATTCTGTGCATCTGGGTGTGTGTTTGTGTGGCAGGGGTCGCATTCGGCAGCTGTCTAGAGGGACAGGATGTTGTCGCGCGCGCGGCGGGGGGCGTGCGAAATCGTGGCAGGCGCAGCACTTTGGCGATGCCGTTGCGAAATCGTGGCAGGCGCAGCACTTTGGCGATGCCGTTGCCGAAGTCGTGGCAGGCGCAGCATTCTGTGCATCTGGGTGTGTGTTTGTGTGGCAGGGGTCGCATTCGGCAGCTGTCTAGAGGGACAGGATGTTGTCGCGCGCGCGGCGGGGGGTGTGCGAAATCGTGGCAGGCGCAGCACTTTGGCGATGCCGTTGCGAAATCGTGGCAGGCGCAGCACTTTGGCGACGCCGTTGCCGAAGTCGTGGCAGGCGCTGCATTCTGTGCATCTGGGTGCTCTGTAATCGCATCCATACAAGGGGCGCACGGTACATGTGTGTGGACATTTGGGAAAAACATAGCATGAGGGGTTATCCGGTCCTTTAATTTTTGCTTGTCACACGCCCAGGCCCTCTACTATGTCCACCGCAAGGACTGGGCCTACTGGCAGAAGGGCAAGTCCGCCAAGAAATCCTGGACTGGCGACAAGCAGGGCATGGTCAAGTGCATCGTGGCCTCAAGGAAGGAAAAGTCTGAGGCCATGAAAGAGGCCAAAAAGGCTTTGGCCGCAGTGCACAAGACCCATGGCAAGCGCGTCCGGAAGTCCAAGAACAAGGGCTTGAAGAGGAAGGTGTTCTGGGCTCGGAGGGCGACATGCGGGGCTGCAACTTCAGCCAGGCCACCCTCTTCGCCCAAGCCCCCCACTTCTACAAGCCAATCTGGGACCCAGTACGCTGTGGCTTTGAAGGCAGCGTGCCAAAATTAGCTGCTCTGTGTTGCATTTTTTTACGCTGGATTTCTATTTTTATTTTTAGCTTGTGGTTCAGTCGAAGCTTTTTTTTTGCCTTTTGCCAGGCTCGCGCCCGTGTACATTCTGGAGGAGGCGCTGGAGGAGGCCAGCCGCAGGGTGGTGCAAGCATCCCTGCTGCCTTTAGGGGCCCAGGGAATCCAGGGTTGCGGTCGGGGCTAATGTATCCTCCCGGTTTCTGGCCTATGGCCAAAGCTGGTGGGACTGTGCCAAACGCTAGTCCCATCATCAATGTGAATGTCACCAATATCAATATTGGCGCTCTTGGGCCAGAGCAGCAGCAACTGGCACAGCAGATTGCTGCCATGATTGCTGGCGGCGTCCCGCAGATGGGGCTTCCAGGCCCACCTGCCCAGCCTGCTCAGCCTATCCAGCCTGCTCAGCCTGTCCCGAAGCCAGCGTTTTCTCCGGCGCCTCCTTTCCCCCAGATGCCCCCCACGGCGGCTATGCCGCCTGATGGGGTGGACAAGCAGGAGGATGGAAAGGATAACCAGTAAGGTTAAGATGTTGTTGCTTGTGTTTTTGGGAATGTTGCACTTAGAATGTGTTGGATATCATTTTTGCACGTAGCCAGTGTTTAGGGATCTGTACCTTGCTGGTGTCAGGCTGGAGCCAGGGCAGTACAGTATGACAAGGTGGGAAAAATGTCAGCTTGGTCATTCTTGAGGGTTTTGCAGTTGAAGGCGTTTGCCCAACCCTGGTCTCCTTGAGGTTCCAATTGGTTGCACTTGGTGCAGGAAGGGGGGAAGGACACAGAGTGAAGAGAGTTTGCATTTGGAGCTGGCCTTGCACCACGCAATGCGCTGATTTTCATTGCCGGGTGTGTCAGCACATCTTGTTTGGATGGCATCTGTGCTTCCCAGGCACCAGTCGGCTAGTTCAGGAGTTCAGGTTTGAAGGCGAGGTCCACGCATTGTTACCTTCAGGAGGCATCAAGAGGCCTCCTTTTCATATACACGCATTGTTACCTTCAGGAGGCATCAAGGGGCCTCCTTTTCACATAAATGCTTCTTGTTTGATCTACATGATGCCCTTGTTGCTCATTTGGGAGCCACTGGCTTTTGCAGCCATCGGGCAGCCAAGGTGCTTTTGAAGAAGAAACGCGGGATACCTAGCCATGAGATTGCAGTTGTCCATGCAGATCATATATGACCACCTGGGAAGCTTTTGGGGTACAAGGGAGAAGTTTTAAACTTGATTGAGGTTGAGATATCTTATTTTTGGTGACTGGAGTTTGCCATTGACCATGCTTGCTTGAGCAGACCCGTGTGCCTTAGGTACTTTTCCAGTGGTTGAAAGTCAAATTGTTCATGAGGATGGTGCCCCTTCATTTTTCTGAAGGAAACCCATGTCCACAGACGTGGGGATGAGGATTGCCAGGTCTGAGCTCAAAAATGCATTTTTTGCACCAACAATTTTTTTCATTCACACAGGCTTGTTTTGGTTTGATCACATGGATAGTTTGGATCAAGCAGTGGTCTGGGCCTTGCTTCTGGTAGCTTACTTTCAATCATGGCTCCCAAAACTGCCAAAACAAAGCCATCCCCACAGAAGAAGAAGGCAGCCGCCAAAAGGGCCGTGGCCAAGCCCAAGCCCAAGTCTGAAGGGCAAGGCATGGACAAGAAGGAGGTGAGTGGTATGGCCAACCTCTCCTATGGTGCGAAGATGGGTGACCACCACAAGCAGGCTTTCTTGGCTGAGTGGCGGGCCTTGCCGCACAGTTGCAAGGAGAAGCAGGAGCTGCTGAGTAAATTCAAGTTGGACAAGTCCTGCAAGTGGATGATCAAAACACGCGCTCGAAGAACAGCGAAGTGAGATTCATAAAGTCACCTTGCCTTGTCTGAAACTTCCGACCCCCGGCCCCTACTGGTATCAAAGGAAGCTTAGAAGAACCTCCGCGGCACTGCGCTTTACAATTTGCTCGCGTGTAGAATCATGCGCAGACGCGTGGGAAAACCAAAGAGAAGCGCAGAAATGCTGTGTTTTCTCGCAGTTTCGCGTGGGCCGATCGTGACCAGAGTAATGGCGCGCCCCCGTTTTCGCAACCTCGAAACGGCGAACCCCTCTGCGGACTTTCGGGCCTTGAGCGTCAAACGCCCAATGTGCTTGTTTGGTGTTGTTTTACTTCGCTCGCGCAACCCTCTGCGGACTTTCGGGCGGTCGACCATCAAAAACTGATGGTTGTTATAACGTTTTTGCGGTTGCAAGTTTTCGAAAGGTGAACCCTCTGCGGACTTTCGGGCGGCCGACCATCAAACACTGAGCGTTGCTTATTGTGTTGGTGCTTGCAAGCTTCCAAAGGTGAACCCTCCGCGTACTTTCGCATAGTCGACCATCAACACCTGCCTGTTGTTGCACGTTTCACGCGCTTCAACTAGCTCGACAGATGGATGGCTTGACATATAGGTAGCTTGACAAATACCCCTAGCTTGACAAACAAAATGGTGTGACATGAAGTTAGCAAAGCTTTTCGCGTAGATAGCTTGACGGGTGGCTAGCTTGGCATATGAATAGCTTTGACATGAAGCTAGCTTGGCAGACGGATAGCTTGACAAGTAGATAGCTTGACATATAGCTAGCTGGACATACGGCTTGACCATAAAGCTAGCCGGCCAAATGGCTAGCTTTGACAAACAGCTAGCTTGACAGATAGCTAGCGTGACAGACCAATAGCTTTGACATAAAGTGACATAAAGCTAGCTTGGCAGACAGACAGCTTGACAGGTAGACAGCTTGACATATAGCTAGCTTGACAGATAGCTAGCTTTGACATATAGCTAGCGTGACAGAAGCTTGACAGATGGGTGGCTTTGACATACTGCTAGCTTGACAAACAGAAGGCTTGATGGCTGGCTTTGACATGTAGCTCGCTTGACAAATGACTGGCTTAGCTTGACAGATAGCTAGCGCAACAGAGGTCAAGTCAAGCCCCATCAAGGTCGAGCCAAATGAAGTCAAGTCAAGTCACGTTCAAGCACCGAGGGAAAGGGATCCAAAACTCAGGAGCTTGAACTATAATGTAATATTTTCTGAAATTCGCCTTGCGGCTTTGCCGGCAAGCATGCCTGTGCGACCGTGCCGTATATTCTGCAGACAGCGCGAGCAAGCAATGGCTCGCTTTCCCAGGAGCAGTTATGTGTGTGTGAATACCTTGCGACATGAACCTGGCCGGAGCCAAGTGCTCTGGCGTGCGTGAGTGGACTGGCTGTGCAAAGCAGCAGCAAGAGCAAGAAACACCCCCTCTTTCATCCCGGGCCAGCATGGTGCCATGAAATTCTGGCCATGCGTCAAATTGTCAATTATCAAGCTTGGCTGGCTTGAGAAATTTCGGGACGCCATGCAAGGCAAACCGCGCACTCGGAAAGGAATTTGCAGTGGGAAAGCCCATGCAGACAAGAGGCCCCCGCAGAACCGTATGGATCTTATCGCGGAGCTCAATTGCTTCTTGCTTTGCGTCTTCGGCGAACTCATCTTTGGAAGCAACGAAGGAAGCGTACTCGTTCGCACGATCGCACAGAAGCTTCCCTTGCCAATCCTCAGCGAATCACGCTGGTCAAGTTTATGACAAACAATACACCATCGAAGACCCAAACAGTTTAAGCAAGATCTCACGGAGCACAAAGAAGCTGAAGCGGGAAAGACGGGCGCGCTTTGGAATTACCTCAAAACACTTTGCGCGAAAGATCATGGCCAGTAGAATTCTAGGAAACCGCTTGGATGCGGTTTTTGTGGATCCACCCCTGTGGGATACTAAAAGAGTACTAAAAGAGTACTAAAAAAGAGCCTAAAGGGGGAAGAACAGGTGAAATCCACAAAAGGCGCATCCAAACCGTTTTCTAGAAGACTGGGGCAAGGATGTACAAGGACATGCTGAAGCCCAAAGCCCTGAGTTCCATCCCCAGCCTTCTTCTCTATCAGCAAGGGAAACTGCTCCGGGCTCGGAGTGCTTTGAAGCTCGCCAGGTCCGCCATTCACTTGCCACTGAAGCTGCTGCCCTGCCCTCGCGGTGACGTTGTATTCAGCCGAGTTCCGCGAGGCCATGAAATCAAATAGCCTGTCTGCCCAACCGCTGTCATAGTCGATCCGGATTCCCTCTCCAGCAGACGCCTGGATCGGGACAAGCAATACCAAGTGCCCAACAGCAACAACCCGTCCAACCTTGACCAGCCCGCGGCACATAATGGTAGCACATGATTAACAAACCCCCTCTGATTAAAGACGCCCGATTTCTCCAGCCAACTGCCAGCCAACACTACTTTAAAGGCACCATACTTGTTTGAAAGGGACGTCTTTGATCAGAGAAGGTGCCAAACGATTCTGCAGAGGTCTTTTGGCCAAACCTTGCGGTTGAACTGCCAAAGCTAATTGCCAATACTTTTGCCAATGCTAAGTCCTTTCATTCTCAAGGGTTGCCATTCCAGAAATCCCAATAAAGGCGGCACGCCGGAAACAGCAAATTCTTATTACCAGTAGAGCCGGCAAAGCCGGTTGGCGGAAGTTTCAAAACGATAAACCTATAGATGCTGGTGGCTTTTTGGCGCAAAGCTGTCCGACCGTGTGCGGTCTATCTCCCTATCTCTATCTATCTATCTGTCTGTCCTACTTATCTATCTATCTACCTACCTACCTCTCTATCTATCGACATATTTAGATTCAAATCTTTGATTCTTTCCGTCTTTCTAAACTAGTTAGCAACTAGCTGTCAATCAATCTATCCATCTATGTATCTATGTATCTATCTATCTATCTACCGATCTATCTACTATCTATCTCTCTACCTCTCGAAATCTCTATCTCTCTATCTCTCTATCTCTTTACCTCTCTATCTCTCTATCTGTCTATCTACCTACCTACCTACCTAGCAAGAACCTGTCCAACCCCGACCGGCCTGCAGCACCTCTGAAGGGAGACAGGGGGAAAACAAAGGGAGACAGGGCCAGCAAAAAACTGTCCGACCTCGACCGGCCTGTGGTACATGTGAAAAAGAGACAACGGAAGACAAAGCCACCAAGAACCCGTCCGACCTCGACCAGCCTGCGGCACATATAGGCTGCGGCACAAATGAAGGGAGACAAGGGAAGACAAGGGAGGAGAAGGGGGAGACAGGGGAGACAGAACCCATCCAACCTCGACCAGCCTGCAACAGATATGAAGGAAGACAATGGGAGACAAGGGGAGACAGAGAACCCGTCCAGGCCAACCTGTCTATTCTAAAAAGAATCAAGAACCCAACAGTTTGCTGTTTCGGGAAAAGGTCTGGAGTCGCGCTGATTACGGGGGTGGATGAAATTGTTTTAGGGTGGGATGTGCGCGAGGTCTCTGCGCGAGCGGTGTCTGCGCAAGTTCTATCTGCAAGGTTCTCTTCGCAAGTTGTCTGCGCTAGGTGCCTTGTGCAAGTTTCTCGACGCAAGCTCGTCTGCGCAAGTACTCTGTGCAAGTTTCTTTGCGCAAATTCTGTCTGCAAGTTTCTGCGCGCGGCTTTCTCAATGCAGATACCTCGGCGCGGGTATCTTTGCGCAAGTGTCTTTGCCCAGCGCTCCTCAAAAGTTTCGATCTTGAAGCTGGAGCTGCAGGAGCGTACTTCGCGTACTGCTTTTGTACTGAGAAGCTGCGATGTTCGAGCTCAGGCTGCGGAAGCTTCCTTCGCGTTGCTCTGTTCCCAGAGTGCGCTGTGCAAGTTGCTCTTTGCAAGTTGCTCTGCGCAAGTTGCTCTGCGCAAGTTGCTCCATACAAGCTGCTCTGTGCAAGTAGCTCTGTGCAAGTTGCTCTTTGCAAGTTGCTCCGCGCAAGTTGCTCCATGCAAGCTGCTCTGTGCAAGTAGCTCTGTGCAAGTTGGGCTATGCAAGTTGCTCTGTGCAAGTTGCTCTGCGCAAGTTGCTCTGTGCAAGTTGGGCTATGCAAGTTGCTCTGCGCACGTTGCTCTACGCAAGCTGCTCTGTGCAAGTTGCTCTGCGCAAGTTGCTCTGCGCAAGTTGCTCTGTGCAAGTTGCTCTGCGCAAGCTGTCATCGTTAACTTCGCTGCGCAAGTGCCTCGTGCGCGGTTCCCTGTGCAAGTTCTGCGCGCAAGTGCTGTCTGCGCAATTTCTCTCTGCAACGTTCTCTGCAGACGTGGATAGAGCTCGAAGAAAGGGGGGCGGTCCTGTCATTGGTGATTTGGAAGCTATGAGAAAAACCCAAGATGCAATTGCCAGGGTGGTGAAGTCGGGAAAGCCAAGAAGGATGAAGTGGCTCATGGACACCGGATATGTCTGATAGGGCTAAAGGCTAGGTCTCAGTCCAAGGATGAGTTCGGAGGCTATGACCTTCATGACGGCGAGTGGGGTCACAGAGACAGAACAGAAAGTGGATCTGGTCATCGCCATTTGTAATGGAGGAATCACCGCCAATCTTGTCTATTGGAAAGAGATGCGCTGACAATGGTTATGGTTTTCTGTGGTTCTTCGGGGAAGAACCTATCATGTTCGATGATCGAAAGTCGGTGATTCGCCTTTGAGTCAAAGATCACATTCCTTACCTGGTAACCAATGACGAGGCGGAACATGAACCGTTGGGGAAACTCACGGAATCTGCTCTCGGGATCTTGGATAACCCCGAGGATGATCCGTCTGTGGAGGATTGACTTGATCGCCGGACGAGACACCAATTGCGGCACCGGCGGAGGAACCCGGCGAGGAGGAGGAAGGTGATGCTGTCGCAGAAGACGAGGGCGGAGGCAGCGACAAAGATGAAGTTGAAGTTGATGTCGAAGCTGGAAGGGGGGTGAAGAGAAAGAAAGGGACTCTCGGACATGGGGCAGATACGTTCGAACACATTGTCACCCATAGGTTCGCAAACCCTTATTGCAATGCTTGCGTCAGAGCGAAGATGCGACATTTCAAGACCAAAAAGGGTGCGTTCAAGCAACAAGAAATGGGGTGGGAATTGAGAGATACCAATGTCTTCGTGGTACAAGACATATACTCAGGGGTAAGAATGGCGTACCCTATTTCGGACGGTTCCGCGGATGAGGTTGTCAGACGCATGAATGAGTTTATGGGAAGACGAAAGATTCGGGTAGCATACGGAGATCATGCACCTCAGTGTTGTCAGCGCTTGTCAGCAACTGGGGATAACGTTCGATCATTCGCTCCCCGGCAGACCCATGAACAACTCCTTGGCTGAAAGGAACAATCTTTGCGTAATCGAACAAGTCAGCACTTGTCTGCTGGCCGCTGGGTTACCTCCGTGTTACTGGTCTTTTGCTCTGACGTCGACATGTCATCTGCTGAACGTCGAGATCGTCGACGGTGAAAGAGCTTGGCACAACACGCATGGCGATCATTTCGGTGGCAAGAGCATACCTTTAGGTGCCTATGTCCATTTCAAACCTTCTCCTACGAGAGACGACACGCACAAGTTCGCACCTAGATCAACGAGGGGTGTGTTCGCAGGGTACAAACTCGAGAGTGGAGTGAGGTGGAGCGGCAAAATGTTGGTGTGGGAGCTGGACAAGTTTTTGACCCACTTGCCTTTCTGCTAAAGAGCACTTTTGAGAGGGTGAATGGGCACATCGACACTTTCATCGAGGCTTGAGACTTGTGAAGCATGGCGACGAAGACGATGGAAACGGAGGAGATGACGACCCGGATGGGGATGACCCACACAGTGGAGGGGGCAGTGCCAAGGATCGATCGAAAGAAGTCAAGGAAAGGTTTGGCATAGATGAGGTCGGGGACGTTGATGCAGCCGTTGAAGGGGATGTGAAGAGTGCCGAATCCACCGCCAACCCGGATCACAAGAAGGTATTGCTTATGGAGGCTGAAGGGGATATCCCTATGCCCGGTGGTCTTGAGCCGGGTTACCAAAGGTGGAGCCGGGGAGACGAGAAAGCAATAGTGTTTCAAACAACGAACGCCAAAGGGGGGCCCAAGTGGAAAGATGTTGTAGGCCGTACGATGGTAAACAGCGATGCTGCCGAAGTGCTCGATTGCATCAGCATCGATCCAAAAAAGGGAGAAGACTTCTACAGGATGGGCGCCGAGATTCCGATCGATACCTGCATCTGGCACAGGCTCGCTGATGCGGATCCTCCCAAGCCTCCGGACGAGTGCGAACACGTCAGTAAGGGTAAAGCTGGCGATGGTGTCAATGCTAGATGTCAAGGGAAGGGGGCTCCCTACAAAGTTGGGATAGAGCCTGCAAAACCTGTAGACCTCCAGATATTTCTCCTGAGCAGTGGAAGAAGACAGGGTGATGTGGGAGTACGCAGCAAGTTGAGAAAGACATCAAAGAAGGACTGGAAAAGAGCATCGCAAAGGCCGAAAAGAAGGCTGAAAAGATGAAAGATAAAGCCAAGAAATCAAAAAACAAAGAGTGTGGCAAATCCAGCAAGGTCTACAAGGACGACGAAATGGGAACGAGCGCCAAGAATGAGCGTGAACCCCAGGCGGCGGTGCCCCTGAGACCAAGCGGAGGGCGAGATGCATGGACCCACTCGTCAAGGCCACTTCTGGCCACATGGCTATCATCAGGATGTTCGGGAAGAGCCTTGCCGCCATCAACCGATATTGGGGACCCGACAATGAGGCGGACAAAGGGGAGGTGGTCGATCAGTGGAAGGATGACTGGCTCAATGGCAATCGCAGTTCCGAAATGCCTGCCCGCCGACGAGAAATATCGACCCGTTGACATCACGCTCGAACAGTGGAAGAACATCTGGAAGGAAACACGCAATTTCTCACATCATGGGAATGTTCTGTACGAAGCTTTATCCGATCCTCTTCAAGATGTATGGAAAGCACAAGCCTTGCAAAAGCCTCAAGGATCTGAAAGAGGCCGCCATCAGGACGCACAAATCTCCAGAGTTGCGGGCATCGAAGAACAACTCGCTGGATCAGATGTTTGACGTGTTCCAGATCGTCATCGGTGCGTGTTTCGGTGTCGAGAAGTACTTGTTCTTTCAGTCGAGCATGGATGGCATCAAGGGCGGAAAACACATTCCTTCCGACTGGTTGTGCACTGCAATGGGCGACAAGTTGACAACGCAGGATCTTCTATTGATGAGCTATCACGGGACGCGCTTCACCCCTACTCTTCTAACTCAGTGGAACAATTGCAACAAGCTGAAG